CCCACAACTCATCTGGCCTTCGTTCATTAGTGTTCAAAGCCTCAAATCTGTTCCTGAGATGGTTCTGAAATTCAGGTGGGATAGACTCAAGGTCATACTTTGGTTGCCTCGGATTTGGTTTAATTTTCCTCAGCTTTAGCTTGAATTTGCTACTTATTTGTTTCTTGTTATAACGAAAATAGGTGGATATTCTTTACATTAGAATCTCACCTCTTAATAAGCATGAATAAGACATGAGTTATTTTAAAGAATAAGGGTACTGGCGTGGGCTCAAGGTAGCTGTTATTACGGCCTTCACACCTGGGTACAGCTCTCCAGGACCTGCATCTTAGAGCATTAAAAGCAGATGATGTTGGAAAGTTCCAGGGAGTGTAAGTCTATACCAGGATTAAAAAATCCAAAAAGTCAGCAACATGATTATCTTCTGGACAACTAAATATAAAATCTGTCACCTTCATAAGGCAAGTTTTCTACAATCGCAAATCACAAAATGAACCATTTATATGAAGCTAGCTTGGTGAAGGGCCAACATAGTCATATGGTTTCTGTGTTATTCAGAATAAATAACACTAAGACTTGTAGTTGGTTTGTGGGAAGAATTAAAAAAGACAACAAGTATAAGTCATCCAGTAGTATTTGTATCTTCAGATGCAGCTGAGAATACACTGAGCCTTTCACTATATCTCCCAAATCATTTAGCATCCTTTGAAAAACACCCCCATTTCCTCTTTCTGCTAGGTAAACAACTGGGGGCTGCCCTGATAAGGGACCAGACAGCTGCGCAGGCTAAGCTGGTGAATGGCCTTTGGAGTGACCCCCACTGTGCTTTTCTTGCCTCCCTGCAGTGTGTGTCTCTGGATGAAGCCTGTACCTCACTGGATGCCTCCATGATCTGGACCATGATGCAGAACAAGATGACCTTCATTAAGCCCCTTGTTGTGCTCCGTCACTCAGAAGAAGCTAAAGGTACTTTAGAAGATGCAGTCAGAGTGAGCAGGCACCCAGGGGTTTCACCATAAGAAAATCCAATGCCATAAATCAAAGTCCACTTTTATTCAAAAGATTAGTAAATGGCCAGGGAGAAACTTTAGTAGAAGATTCTTTGTGTGAGGAGTCTTTTATTAACTGACTGTCCTGCTGCCAGTTGTGGGTGTTTTGAGTGATACATTTGCAAATGATTTCCTTGTCTTCAAAAAAATGAGGTCAGAGTCATGAGCGTCCCTGCCATGATGGTACGCTTCCTTGAGCATGCAAGCAAAGGTTAGAATTACTTCTGGCATGCTGGGAGTTGCATAATCCACAACCCATGTTACCACACTGTAGCCCCTGGTGAGCGATACACTGAAAATGGCTGTGAGCCTGCAACTAGCAATTCTAGTGCTTTGTCGGAATCCGCAAATGCTTTTGGGAGACTATTATACATATGGGCATTATCCATCTTAGTATTACTGGAGAAAGAAGGTTGAAAGCAGTGTGTTACTTGAAGCCAAGGATGCTTGCCTTTGCAAACGCAGGAAATGTTAGTAAGCTACACTTTCTAGCAAAAGGGAAGAATGTGCCCTGAAAGTTTGGGGTCTGTGTCTGGGCGACAGGCAGGCAGAGCCCCGTCAGGCACAGGCCAGAGCTGACCAAACCAGCAGAGAGGCAGTTTTCTTTGCCTTATGGCAGTATTAGGAATGGACATGAGATCCTGTGGATTGTGTAAGAGTATCTGACGGAGTCCCATGCCACAACTCCAAGGGCGTGGAGGAGGGATAACACACTTGGTAGCTTTCAACATGTGATAGATAGTTAGAACCAATGTGGCATGTATAGTTACAGTTGGTATCTAAAAGTACCAAACTGAGAGAAGGCTGGGAGAGTGAGAATGGATTCCAAGTTTCTAGGGTTAGAAATTTCAGGGTTAAAGCTGCAAGCCACCTTCTAACTTCCAGAGGACAGAGAGGAACCTAGACACCCAGAGCCTTGACAAAAGCCGGAGTTCTGCTGCATGGTGCCAACACCAGCTGTAGGGTTTGGAATGCCTCTGGGGCAACATTTCTGATATTGAAAATTATTGGGCTGGGATTTGGCAAGATTGGCAGCAGAGATGACTGGGGGCAGGCAGGACCTGTCAGGACAGAGGCCTGTGGGTGCTGTTCAGTTTCCTGTTTGATTGAATGACCTTTGTGAAACTGGCAGTGCCATTCCAATGGTGGTGGCGGCAGCATTCATCTAGGAACATGTTCACTTCAATGAAGAGGGCACTCACTGGTTTAGGGGACGGGGACTGGGACACTGTCCTTGGCTTTCCCACTAACTGGCTGTGGGACCTTGGCCTTGAGTTTTATTCTCTTTATCTAGAAAAGGCAAGGGCTGGATCAGAGTACTTGATAAGACTTTTTGAGCTGTGACATTCAAATATACTATTTTGAGGAAGCAGCGTCACTTCTAATTCACTTTCCAGTCCTTCTGAAGCTGGTATGAAATGTTATGTACTCCATTTTTATTAGTTCCTCAGCAACATTTGTGTTTGTTTTACTTTTATTGGTTGGTTTTCAACAACTTGAAACAGTTACAGCAGCCACATTCTTGCTATAAATGGGGTATCCACCCAGCTTCATGTTTATGTTTAAGGGAAAGGGGGGAGAATAAATTAATTGTGTTACTAAGTATATTGTAATTGGACAACTGGCTATATTTTGTACTTTGAAAAGTTTAAAGATAGCAAGGGCTCCCTCATACTCCCATCTGTTATTCTTACCTATTTTGAGAGAGGTAATTCTTTTTGGTAATTGAAGGCAGCAGTTTGCCATTTCCCATGCCAGACAATAATTAGGCATTAATACTGCAGCGCTATAACTTCCAGTAATTCATTCATTTTCCTTTTAAGTCTGGTGGTATTTCTCTAAGTAATTTCTCTTGTAAATAAAGTAATTACTTTTATTTAAACATAGGGAAATTATCCTGATAGTATTTCAGAGTTTTCTTTACATAAAAAAGTTCAAGAGGAAAGTTTTACCATATATCAAAGTAATTTTATGAGATTTGCTAATTGAGGCTAGAGCTTAGAGGGAGGGTTTGTGAGTAAAGAACATTCATTGCTAAGGTTTGTTAAACAAATTGAGGAGACTAAATTGTAGGACGGCCTTCCTAGGGGCTAAACGATAATATACTCTGTGCCTTTATCCTCAGGGAGGTAAATTTCCTGGTAGTTTTCAACTCTGTGTGCCCCCTCTTGTCTTTTATGTTTATTTTCCTTTTTATTTGGATATCATTTCTTTTAGAATAGGACAATGGAGTCTCTACTTTGTTATTGAAATAACCACTTATAAAGGGAGTAAGATAATTTGTATTTAAAAAAAAAAACAAAACAAACGCAAAAGCAGTTAATGTTGAATCACTTCCAGCTCATGAAATCCTGTGTTTTACGTAATAGAACTACTCTAGAATTTTCTCTTGGATGCAATTGTGATGGAAGCAAATCAACAGGCCTGCCTTCTGCAGTGCGTTTGGTTAAGTTCTAGCCACCATTCTTTAGTCACAAAATCCCATTGTCATCAAGTTGATTCTGATTTTAACAGCCTTACAGAACAGTACAAGGGTGCTTTAATGGCTAGTTGTGGTGGTTTGATGCGGTCAAATATAACTCTTAGCAACTGTATTAACAACAGACCCGAACCCTGTCCCATCCTGTGCCATCCTCATCATCTCTGACACGCTCTAAACTCATCGCTGCAGTCACTGTCAGTCCATCTTATGGAAGGTCTTCCTCTCTTTCCCTGATGCTTCGCTTTTCCAAACATGATGTCCCTTTTCAAGGAATAGCCTCTCCTAGCCACAGGCACAACATATGAGAGACAAAGCTTTGCCGTCCTTACCTCCAAGAAGCTCTCTGGCTACATTTGCCCAAGACATGTCTGTCTGTCCTTTTGACTGTCTATGGGTATTCAGTACTCTTCACCACCACCACAGCTCAAAGGTATCAATTCTTCTTTTGTCATCTTTAGTTCATTTTCCAGCTTTCAGATACATAGCAGGAGTTTGAAAAGGCCATGGCGTGAATCAGGCACACCCTAGTCTTCAAACTTACATCATTGCTCCTAAGTGTTTTGGAGCGGTTCCTGGCTGTAGACTTTCCCAATACATCCCCAGATTTTCTAACTGCTGGTACGAGGAGTGTTGATTGTGCTGCCAAACTAAAGGCATGTGACTTGAATCTACCAGTTACTCTTTGGGAAAAACATGGGGAGTTCTGTCTCCTCCTCTGTGATATATTGCATCTGAAAACTTGCTGGAGGGACAGCTGTGAGTTGATTCTGACTCTATGGTACATAACAACAGTAAAACAAAAATGTACCATGCCGTTTCTAATGCTGCAAATCTTTCTAAAGCACACTGCCTCAACTTTCTCCTGTGGCTTGGAAGTCAGCCATTTTAACCAAATGCCACCAAAGCTCCATTTAGCTTAATAGACACAAATAAGCCATGTACAGCACCCAGGAACTTCATTTCTTTAGTGTTGCTGGTTAGGTGCCATCAGATGAACAGATAAAAATCCTGCCCGATCCTGGGCCAACCTCACAGTCTTCCCTGAGCCTTCCGCATTATTGCTGTCACTGCGTCTGTTTCTCTTGTTGAGGTTCTTTCTCTACTTCACTAACCTTCTTCTTTCCCAAGCATAATGGCTCTTTGGTTTATTTGCCTATTAACAGCATCAAAAATGGTGTTCTGATATACTTCCTTTTAGTGTAGAATGTGTGAGAGCATATGGATCTCTTACTGGGATCTAATTTGGACCATTTTATTTACTGACAGTTGTGTTTTATCAGATATCAAATAAAGTCTCTAGTTGGCATTTTAACGCTCAAACTCTCTGGCTGACCATGGCATGAACATGTTTCAGGAAGTATTTACCCCCCCCTCTGGCCAGGGAGCATAGTCCATCAAGGCTAAAATATGATTCTGAATCCTTCCTCTTGGCCTCTATCTGAATTTCTGCAGTAAATCTTTATAACATTTGATTTCTAAGTAACTGGGAAAGCAGCATTGGATAAGCATTCTACTCCTAACCCAGGCATTGCTTATATTTTCAATAGTAGCTATGAATGCTAGTGATGATTAAGATGACGATATTGGTTAATTATTAAGAATTTACTGAGGATTAGGTTAAGGCTGTGTGCTAAATACTAACAATGTAGATCATCATATTCAATCCTCATAGCACCTCTGAGAGATAGAAAGAGAAGCTAAGTAATTTGGTCAAGATCACATAATATAAAATGAACTTTGGGTTTAGATCTAGGTATTTTTATTCCAGTATCTGTACCCTTAAACTATGTCTTATCTTAGGGAGAGTTTGCTTTTAGTTTTTAATAAAAACTAAAATCAGCATAAGCATCTGTTTCCTCATACCCCTCTTCTCACTTCCCTTGCCTCTTTCTTATTGTATTGTATTGATATTTCAAGTTAATGTCCTTGTCATAGCATTATGAATGACAGATATTATGAGGGATTTGGGGTTAAGAGGCTCCCTCCAAAGTGTAAAATGTTTAAAAACTTATAAACTGTTCAGCAGAGTATTGACGTTAAGGAGGAGCTCTGTAACTATGGAGTGTAACTCACAAAAAGGCCCGGAAAACATAACTAGCTTATGCATAATATGGTACATGGCAGAACAATTAAAATAGTTGAGATGGTGCCATCCCAACCATATTTTCTGCAGTAGTTTGGATTATAGGCATTCTAGTGCTGTTTTCTTTGGACGCTGTGACTACTTTTTACAGTGTTTCAGAACACTTGGGCTTACTCAGGAAAATGGTTACGCCATATCATTGGTTTAAAAAATGGTGAAAGGGAGGAGCAATCATTTCCCTGAAACTTCACACACACATGTGAGCATAAAATATCGTTTCCAAATGTTCTTTGATTTAGATTCAGGGTGTGATTCTTAGTGAGTTATATGTATGAAATATTAAATTTTGTCA